ATTTTGATTGGTTGATTAGCAGGTGACAATCATTCAACATTCGTGTAACCATTTCCCATATTTGGGACGGTCACCCCTGTTCTTTTTAACACACTTGCTTTTTTTACACATCTTTTCTCTCACGCTTTTACTGTTTTACTCTATTATACAATATATACTTGTAAAGACTCGATTACATATAAGGTAATGTATTATATAATTTTTATGATACGATAACTAGATAGTTGCCAGTAATTGTATGCACGATAGGTTTCGTGACTCTTTAACAAAGGTTGGAAGCATGGCAGACACGACTTGCGACAGTTAACTAACCGGATTTAATATACGGTAGACGGCTCGTTGTGAAAGTCTATTTCTCCTTCCAAGTTTTAGAGGTTACTATCTCGGTTATTAATCATAGTAGGTAAGGAACAGGATGCATACAGTTATTGTGAACGCTCTTGTTTTATTCTTTAATTTAGATAATAAAAAAAGAAATACAAGTAGACATCTCTTTACCTTAGAAAAAAGGCAGAGTTTAGGTTTAATTATTTATTTTAATTTTTTTTTAATTACAGAAACATATTTTTACATGAAATGATAAAGTTTCCTACCTACAACCGATCGTCTATGTTTTTGTTTACGGTGTTGGAGCCTCGGCCACAAAGCTAAAGACTGTATCAAAAGAGAACCTTTATTACGTGAGAGATATATTTCTCTTCTACGATAAGACCTAATATAAAGAATTAGATAGAGCGGGGCTGGACTCTATCCATGATAAACGGACGTTAACAGTTAAAAAAAAAAATAGGAGTGAAAAACAAAACCTAACATAAATGGTTGGTTAGGATTGAATAAAGCAGGGCAAATTTTAAAGATCCTGAATATGAAGAAGAATCAAGGCTTATTTTTCTCAAGCAACTGGTCTGAGTTACATACGACCGCGACTGTCTTCTTGAATATTTATGTAACTTAAAAGAATGTAGAGTGTCTGGAGGAATTGCATACATTAGTAGTGATGAACTTGAAACCTGGTTGAGGTCCTCACCATAAGCGAAAAACAAAAACACATCGATAAAAATCGACAAAAAAGTATGCTCTCAGTTCTTTATCTTATGCGACCTATATCATTATAAATAATTTCTACTATCGTCATGAATAAAAACCTTGGAGAAAAGGCGGGAATTAATTATTTGCTGTAAATAAATAAATCTTTATAAATGTTTTTTTATATAAAATACATAATTTAAAGTATATATATATTTTTTTTGTATATAATTTGATATATAGTTTAAAGTCAAGCCATAAATGGAATAAATAAACAAAATTCGTCATTTATTAACTCATTGTAAATTAATAACGTCTACTATATTAGTAATTAACTTTAGTTACTAATTTTAATAAATTATATCATTGTTTGTAATGCTGTGTTTTTTTTACTTTATGTGATGCGTATCTGGTTCATTTTTTGAAGATCTATCAAATTTTCAAATCATATAACGTATACGTACATTAATTAGATACTGTATTTGCGGATTTAAAATTCCGCAACAGTAATAACTGCGGACCGCAGTAAAAGATTATTTTTTTGGTATAAATATATGAAGTGGATTTTGATATTCATCATTCTGATTGAGTTAATTAATTTGATTTATTGATTTATTGATTTATTACATAACGATAAATAATTAATGTTATCGTGCATAGATTTTTTTGATTTATTGATTTATGAAAGAATCAGTCATTTAGCTTTAATTAATTCAATTAATTCGCGAGATTGGTCTTGAATTTCTCATATTACCAAGACTTTTAGCGATCAACAAAAAATAAAAATAAAAATGCATAACTACTCTGGATTAATTTATATTTCTAATGGGTTTGGCCCCAAGCCAATTCCTTTGAAAAATGTTAATATTGAAGCTAGCGGTTTGAAATAATTTCTTTAATCAGTCTGTTATATTTTCGAAAGACAAATTATTCAATTTTTTTTCATCATCTATATTTAACCCTAAGTGGTGGATATGATCGCTGAAGGTAAATTTTCGCATGAATTATTTTTAAATCTATCAATACTAAATGTCTTTTTTAATTTGATTCGCAGTTGTCATTTCTCAAACCTATACAAACGTCGAAAACGATACGATTGAGGCTATTTATAAATTTCCAATTCACGAAGCTGCGGCGGTATGCTCTTTTGAGGCTGAAATTGATGGTAAAACAAAGGTCAAAGGTATTGTTAGAGAAACGGAGAAGGCTGTAAAGGAATACAACACTGCTATTCAGGTGATTTATCTTTTTGCTTAAAACTTTTATATTATTTTTACATCTTTAATACTATTTTTTTTCTCTCTCTCTCTATAGGAAGGTCATGGTGCTTTTCTAATGAATAGTCAACTTCCTGATGTGTTTGAATGTATGGTTGGGAATATTCTTCCAAAACAGACCGTAGTCATCAACATTACCTATGTTGTAAGTAAATTAGTGATTGGCGTCGTAATCATGTGATGCTAATTGTCACGTGGTAAAATATATAAAAATCAACAATCTAATTGTATATTGTATCATGTGACAATTAGCATCACATGATTACGACGCCAATCACTGAAGTAAATAATTCATGATTAAGTACTCATGTATAATCTTTTTAATACAATTAGACTGAACTTAAACATGACGCAGAAACTGAGAAAATTCGTTTCGCGCTTCCCACTTCAATTGCTCCAAGATATAGAAGTGGCCCATCAGAAATTCCTTCGTTTGCAAGCAATTTGCCTCTTGTCAACACTGTTGAAACTACTAATAATTTATCGATTTCCGTTACGTGCCGAATGACATCCTTCATTACAAGTATTGAATCACCATCACATTATATATCTACTGAATTAAATATTGATGGAAACCCAAAAATTTCTAGAGTTACTTTGAATGAGCAGGCGAATTGTTTAGAAAAAGATTTCGTGTTAGTCATTAAAAGTCAAAGTCTTGATCAGCCAAGGTAATTTAATACTATCCTTGCAATTGATGTTAATCTTCTTCGTAAAATGTTATTAATTCTTTTAACTTCGTTTAGAGCATTTGTTGAATATAATCCAGTAACCGAAACGAATTGTGTTATGTTAACCTTGGTTCCAAAATTTGCTATCAATCCGACTTTAACTGAATTGATATTTGTTGTTGATAGGTAAAGTTTATTAAGTATATGATTACACATACCTTTTATTTCAAATTTAAATAAATGCGTATATTATTATTCATATTTAGATCTGGTTCTATGAATGGTGCACCTATTAAAAAGGCTGCTCAGGCGCTTGAACTATTTTTACGATCGCTCCCAGAAGATTCATATTTCAATGTTGTATCATTTGGTAGCAATTATGATTCGCTTTTCCCAAAAAGTCAACCTAATTCTCAATCTGCGTTATCAGCTGCTCTTTCTCTTGCTCAAAACATGGCTGCAAATTATTTTGGAACCGAAATTTATCAATGTTTGAAGTGGGTTTTTGAAAACAAGAGAAATGATATGCCAACTGCCGTATTTCTTCTCACTGATGGTAGTGTTTGGAATGTAAGTCAAGTTGCTGACTTAATTCGATCAAAAGTAGAAGAAAACAAGGACCTTCGATTATTCTCTTTGGGTATCGGAAGTAATGTATCCCATAATTTAGTAGAAACTGTCGCGCGTGCTGGAAAAGGATACGCCCAGTTCGTAACCGACTGTAATGATGGGTTTGAAAAAAAGATTATTGGATTTTTGAAAAATTCGCTCAGACCACCAATTAAAGATTACAAAATCGACTGGACTGTTTATGAAGTCATGGAAGTTGAGGATAATGAATCTTCAGAAAATATTTCAGAGAAACCTGTTATCAGCTTTTTTAATGAAAATGATAAGACCCCTCCTTCACTGCTACCAGCAGACGATTTTGTTTCGAAATTACAATTCAGACAAGCTCCATACGATGTTCCACCAATTTATCAAGGAGTTCGTTTTATGGTTTATTGCATACTTGAAAAAGGAGTTGTACCTAAAGAGAATATTACACTTTCCGCGATGTCTCAAGACGGTCCAATGAGATTGGAAATTCCAGTGGATCCCGTCAAACTGGAGGGATCTAAAATACATACACTTGCAGCACGCAAACTCATACAAAATCTTGAAGATGGAACTTCGTTTCTTCATAACCATCAGAAATATCAAGGAAAACAAGTTCCTAATTCTGTTGTTCGTAGTCAGATTGTTTCTCTAAGTAAAACATATAGTTTGGCATCCCGTTATACGAGGTAAGCTTTTGAATTTAGTGAAAATTTATGTAATAATTTCTTTTTCAATGTTAATGACTTTAATTTATAGTTTTATAGCGATTGACGAACGAGATATAGATATGACCAAAGAACAGGATTATAAGCCACTACAAAGAGTGGTGCCAAACTATATCCCACCCAATTATACGAGTTCCTCTTGGTTCAACAACAGTAAATACTCGGTATTTGGTGCACCACCTCCTTCAGGTGGTCCTGGTGGTGGATTTACCCAGCAAGCCCAAAATAACTTTTTCGGCCAAAAACCAGCTTTTGGATTTGGCAGCGCACAAACACCAACGCCATTCTCTTGTGATTTTGACAGCGCACAAGCACCAACACCAGCTTTTGGATTAGGCAGCGCACAAACACAAGCACCAAAACCAGCTTTTGGATTTGGCAGCGCACAAACACAAACACCAACACCAACTTTTGGATTTGGAACACAAGCATCAACACCAGCTTTTGGATTTGGTAGCGCGCAAACACAAACACCAGCTTTTGGAGCAAAACCTACAACAACCAGCGGACCTAATTCACTGTTTGGTAAATTTCAATCGACCATGCCAAATCAAGAGGACAACATGTCAGACCTACCGAATCTATCGCAATTTGGTGGATTCGCAGTTACAACTCATGCATCTCCAACAGTAAATCTAAATTCATCAAGTACAACAAATCAATCACAATTTGGTGGATTTGGTGGACTCGCTTCTACAACTCTTGCATCTCAAACGGTAAATAATCTAAATTCATCAAGTACACCAAATCAATCACAATTTGTTGGATTTAGCGGATTTGTAACACATACTCAACCTCATATATTCAATCATTCATCAAATACATCTATTCAATCGCTATTTAATTTTCAACAGGCTAACGTTGATCAACAAGCATTTACCTCAGACTCTATTGATATTCCTAAACAGCAAAATGATCCAACAATTCCAACTTTAGAAACCCTTTACAACTTCTTAAGGTTTCAATCTTTTGACGGAAAGTTCTTGCCGTCCGATGATTTTTATTCATATTTCAAAAAAGATGAAGTAGAAAATAATGATTTAAAAGAATATGGTATTAGAAATAGTATAGATGAGACAATATGGACAACTTCGGTAGCGGTAGGGTATTTGGAAATTATTATGGGTTCCAAGTTTGGAGAAGAAAGTGATTTGTGTAAAGAAAAGGCTGAAAGATGGTTAGAAAAAATGTCTGGTAGTGAAAAGATGAAGGTTTTGGAAGTTGCGAGAGAGTGGGTGCGGGAATGGGTTAAGAAATGGAATTAGTTTAAAAGTTTATTTTTATTATTTAATTTTTAGATTTGGTTTTTTTTTTTTTTTATCTTATAATTCATCATAGACGCCATAGAGGCGTTCTTATTGTTTTGTTACTGTATTGATTATTTAAAATATATTATGTATTTGATTTTTTTTTTACATAATAACATCTCATTTAGCATAAGATTTAATATCTATTATTAATATGTTGTAAGTCCTTTTTGTTTTCTGTTTATATTTTAATGAATATATTTTTTTCGGGATGGTTTGATTTCAAATCTTTAGGCGTATATTAGCATTTAATCAGAGATGAAGATTAAAGGAAAACACTGTTCAGTTTTGTACAAAGAAAGTTTATACGAATATATATTGTATATATTTATAAATTAAGTTTTAACAATAAAATTTAGGGAACATCAAAGGTATCTAGACAACCATCCAACCAAGTTTTTTATTTGAATTCTACGGATCCGTAGAATTCAAATAAGAAATTTGGTTGGATGGTTTCGAGATACCTTCAATCAAAGTCATGATCGATTTTTCTATTAATATTTTGATAGACATTTAAAACTTTGATCGAAGCAGGGCCGATGATTTTCTGCGGTGATACACGTATTTTAAAAATAAATATCATCGCAAAAAATCATCGACCCTGCATCTCGGCAACCATGCAAAATTTGATTGGATGGTTACCGAGATACCTTTGAGCAAAATTTTTAAAAAGTTATTTACACGAGTGTGGAAATATCAGTTTCTTAAAATTTATTTAACTTATACTGTATATTAATTATATTGATCCTAAATGAATCTAAATGAGATAAAGAAAATTCTCAAATATAAGCTAAACGACTTCATAATTATTTTCTTGAGTCATGCAATCTATCCTTTACTTCGAACTATTATGGTCATAATGGTCTATATTCATTAATGCCAATTGTATCTGAAGAAAGAACAACCTTGTAATTTTTCTTATGTTCTGAGAAAAAGGTGGAAGCTTGAGAGACCAATGTTAGGCCATGGCAAAATCAGAATGCATTTTACAAAAACTTGGCGTTACACTGAAGCTATTGTAGTTGCCATAGTGAAAGTTTTGCGTCATGGGTCTCTTCGATTTATTTATTACTTTTCTTGTTTTATTACACAAGACCTCGAGATTTTTATTGACGCCAATGTGTGAATATTTGACCCAAGGGTTAACATTATCTACAGTATTAATTGAAAGTTTGCCAATTGTTTTGCGTCACAAATAGGATGGTTGGCAAGCTGGCGAGGCAACTTTTTAGTTCGCCAAATCATAGTAACAAGACTCTCTCCACTATTGTTTTGCCAAGCTCTCCAGCTCGCCAACTAGCTTGCCAACCACTTTAGTCACAAAAGAATCATAAAGATTTCAAGATGCAAAATAGATATAAAAGCTCAAGATTTTTCTGTAAGAATGCAAAAACAGTAAAACAATTTGCAAGCTGAGTATCACCACGTTTGACTTTTTTTTTCTTGAATTTCAACGTAGACTCTGTGCAGTTGTTGATTTATGACACGGTTCTGGCCAATACATCAATAAAGTATATATTACAATATATATACTGTGTATCGATATTGTCCCGGGATAAAAGTGACACTTGGTTTTGTCTTTGTTTAGTGGTTCCGATTATCTAAGGCTTGGATTGCACATGAGGCTCGTTCGGCCGAGGGTCATTGAGAAGAATAATCCCATCCAAAATAAAGATGAGTCACGTTTTAGCCTCTTAGTCCTTTTAAAATTATTTAAAGAACGCAACTTGGGTAAGGTTGGTTAAGGTTGGTTAAGGTTGGTTACAGCACTTATGTGCGAGGTAGGGGCACATAAGACCACTAACCCGACGATAAATCCTTCTTTAAAGATCATTTTCCTGGTCATTTTATTAGACACCAAATAAATGAATCGATCTGATCCGAAGTCACATGTAACCATTACGGGTGACACTAAGATCGTTCCGCTTGGACTCAGTTCTAATGCCTGTTGATAAGGTTAATACTAGTCATGCTGTATATGTTTCAAATTGTAGGTGCAGGAATATGATCAATGACGTAACTTTTTTTTTAGCCGTAACTCAAATAGTCGGTATTGTAACCGGTTAACCGTCAGGTTACCCGGATAACCGGATAATAAAATCGATTAACGGATAATTAAGATATCCGGTTAACCTAAAAGATAACTTAAGATAAAATAGGGTAAAATATACTGTAATTATCGCCGCGTCAGATTAAAACAATCGTAATCCTGCTGATACCTATTCTTACATCGCGCCCGATTTAATCCCTAATTTTTAATTGGTACGTATATCGTTTACGTACTAATGTGCTTTAGAATCCCTTTGGTTTGATCTTTAGTATAATATACTGTATATATATAGAATTATTATAAGATTATAATATATAAAAATAGTAATTTGAACTAATTTAAGCAATTTATAAATAGTTAGAGTTAGTGTGAGGGTTATAGTATAAATTAGAGTTAGGTTAGAGTTAGGGTTAGAGTTTTTTTATATTATAATTTCTATATTGTGCCACCTATACTAAAGGAGATCCACGTTTAGTCAGCATCCCTAGTCAGGATAGAATGAATTACAGTTGGTTATATAAATCAAGCAAAATATAAGTTAATAAATTATTAGAACATGATTGTCTAAAGACCCAAATAATTGCATATGGAATGTTTTTTTAATTCTGTAATTTTGATTGACTGATTCCATTAATCTCTTACCTCAATAGGATATAAAACCGGTTATTAGATTTTATTAAAGGTTATAACCTTTCGGGTAAAAGGTTAGCCGGGTACGACCACTAAACTCCAGACGTGTAGATATATGCTGTAATATTGACTTATGTCGCAATTTCAAATACGTGTTATTAGTTATAATATTCGACGATATCAATCATTCGTTAAAAAGTAGCAAAGTAAAAATTTAGCGGTCCTGTGATTTCCGAGACAAATTAGGCCGGAAAATATTTTAGATCAAACTACAGAGTTGAGAATTTGTAATCGGGATTGTTGACATTCAATATCAATTAATGATTATTATATCTTTAAACTTTTCAATGAAAGTTATGTGCAAGTCCAATTTGGAGGTTCATAGCCTCGGAATCGTGGGATCGCCGAATTTTTGTGCCATTACTTTGCTAGTCCTCACGATATAAAATCGGTCTGTTTACAATTCTTTAAAAATAGAGAATTATTATAAATTTATTAATCACTTCTAAAATGAAAGACTTATAAATTGTTCTTTATTATAATATAGAATGTAAATTCTCGAAAATGTTCGTATCATACATTATAAAATAAAGGAATATGCATTAGATATGTTTTTTTTTTTTAGCTTTATTCTGTATATAATATTTTGTAAATACATGTCGATATATGCCAATAAGTAAAATTACGTTTTATACATTTACTTATTTTTCAAGAAAGTTAAATTACGTCTGTCACGTCTAATAATAGAGATAGTTCCGGCTATTACGACATACGCTGTTACGACACTTATAAATGCTCATTTTTTGATGTAACTATACGTCACCAAGTTTTTGCACCTCTAACTTCAGGCTATTATTCAAATTTCGCAAACGCGCGTAACATGGTAAAAATAAACAATTACGAAAGAGCTTGCCAGGTCGAATCAAAGGATTGATTTGTCTTAATGTTATTTGAAATGAAACGCTAAAGGTAAATGCACTGGGTGTATTAAATGTAGTGCTCGACAAAATCAAACAAAAATTTGTGATTAAGTCGGACATCAAATGATCAGAGACTATATCGATATATTCAGTTTTGGTTTGATGTCCGATTTAATTATGCACTAATTAAATGATTGAGAATATTAAATTTTCACGAAAGACAGTAGACGATTTTCAATTAATCGGGCATGAGATTGGTTAGGTACAGTATTTGGTAAGATTAGAGGTTAAACAGAAATAATACTGTAATGTAACAAAATAAATAAACAATTAATTTTACGTAATTATTAATATTACACTTCTCTGTTGAAATTTAATGCCCTACGAAATATTGCAGAAGCGCGTTATGACGTATGCAGTATGTCCAAATACAACATGCTATGACGTACTTTATTTGGATTGCAACGCATGCACTTTTAGTAACCATGCAAAATGACGAAAGTAAATTACAATTTATAGTAGTTTTATTATCTGTGTCATTACGATTCTTTTTTAGACTCACAATTCCAACTTATGCAAAAGAGAAAAAAGAAAGTGTTACGTGCCCCTTTTTTAAGGGGTTGTATCAGATAATCTTGCATACCTCAAAATAATTAAGTAACTTCCTTTTTCACATTCACATGCAATTTTAATAAACTTTCCGACATGATTTATCCTGGTCACGTGAACATTGAATTCTTTGGTTTTCCTGGAGAAAGGATTACATCAATTAAGTCATTTAGACAGTTTTGGCCTCTTTGAACATTTTTTATAAGTGATAAAACATCTATGTAAATTTCTCAGGCAATCGATCATCGATAGCATCTTACAGAAAGGTTTAGTTGCTATTAGCGTTGCAAACTTAATTAAAGTTAAATGCTAAATAATTTACTTTATAAAAACATTATTGCTTAGTTAAAATTACAATATATCGTAATTAAGTTTAGAATTATAAAAGCGAAAAAGATTGTATGATAAAATCAAATTTATTTTATTATACTGAAATCTCTTTCGAATTTGTTCTTATTAATATGAACGATGAACTAACTTCTACAAATTTATCTTAAACATATCAAGCCAACTATCTCAAAGTGATACATGTTTAGAAAACAAAATAGAACACTAAAAAAGAAAGGTTATAACAGATAATGTTACTAATGACCGTAATGCAACTTGTCATTATTGTCCAAAGTAAATGGAGTTGTGGAAATGGAAGCAAATAATTGATGTAATGCTTTTTATTGTACGTGCTTACGTAGTTTAAATAACTTGTATGTATATTATCGGTCTTTAAATAATGCAAAAATTATTAAATATATATAATTAATTTTGATTTTTTGCTTGTTCTAAGCAATGATTTTATTGAACTCAAATTTTTACACGTCAACTCCTAAAAAAGAAAAAAAAAAGAAGGAAAAAGCAAAATAAAAAAAAATAAAAAAATGTCAATTATAATAAAATAAAATTTAAAGCATCACCAGAATAGATTTTTTTTAAATCCAAAATTTTTTTAAACGTTAAGTCTAAGAAAAAAAAAATTTTGAAACATATAATAAATTAGCTACGAATGTCCTTTAAAAACTTGAAAAGATCTATCGAATTCTTTTCCTTCTTTAAATATTGTTCGATCAATTTAACGTGAACTTCTGGCATTTGTCTTTTCCAACCTCCGATATAAAATGTATCCAAATCAGCCTTACAATTCTCAAAAAACTCTTCCAGAGTCGTCAATACTACCCAATTTAAATCAATGCTCAAGTGCTTTATTGACAAGGGTAATTCATTCGCCAACTCTGGTAAATATTCATTAATTTCACGTTCTTGTCCATAAGGGCCGACTAATTTTAAAGTTGTTAAGCTTTTACATTGTATTAAAAATGGGGACAGTTGTGGTGCTTGTTCGCTCTTGAATGGAATTATTAACCGTTTTAAGCTCGAAATGTTCTCTAAATATGTTACTACAGTTTCTAAAATTGGGAGTGTTAGATTTCTAGCAACTTTATCAGAATACCACAAATCTTGTAATGATCTCGAATTTGCTTTTATCATATCGATAAAAATTGTGCTAATATTACTTAATAAAGATTTAAAATGTAATATTTTTAGGTTTGGAAATTTTACTGTTGTTAATGGTTGTAAAATTTTATCACTTGAAAACAAACAACTATTAATGATAATAGATTCAAGATTTGTGCAATTTGCTAAGGCTTTAAATGCATTTATAGAATCTTTTACGTCCGAATTATTCGCATAAAATTTTGCATAAACTAATTCAAAATGTGTAAGTGTTTTTGTTTGAGTACTTAACGCATCAATTGGTTGTATTGGACTTAAACCATACGCAAAAAATTTACAACGTTGTAAATTAGTTTGAGAAGAGATTAGAGTGTGAATTGATCGATGACGAATTTCTGGAAGATTCAAGAATGTGTAATCTATTATCTCAAGATTTTTTAAATTTTGACAACTCCAAGATAATTCTCTGAATACGTCGCGTGTATCTACATGATGAATTGACAGATCTTGAAGATCAGAAAGAATTGATGAGTTCTTGGTATGATATGTGAACATTGGATAATTTCTCCATTTGCCGGAAAAAGACCAATCCAGAGAAAATGATAGTAGTCCCGGGCTTTTTTTTACAAATAATCTACATAACGCACGGCATATTATATTTCTTTGGCATGTAATGTTTCTAAATAATTAAATGAATTTTTAATATTAATAATATTAAAAATAATATTAGTAATATGTTGAAATAAAAACATAAAGATTATTTATTACATACGTACTTAATAGATTTTTGAGATATATGTATCCAGGAATCTACGGATAAATATAATTTTGACATACTAAGTTCTCGAAGTAGATTCGCATAATAAAATGTAGGTGGTTTATTTCGTTTTAATTTAATACCGCAAGTTTTGATATTCTGTCTTTCATGTTTGGAAAGACATTGAAGATATGTCTTTATAACATTTGCAGAAGTCTTGCAATGGAATGGTCTACTCCAATACAGAGGAATTACAACATTACACCATTCTTTACAGACCAAAAGACATGCGTTCAAGGTTCTTAAATCGTCTTGTACATAAGTAAATATTTCGATCAAACATTCCGTGGGAAGTGATGGTGAAGATACTGGGTCTTTAAATTTATTTTGAATTATTGCATTGTCTTTTCTTTTTTTCCGTTTTAGTTTTCGTGGTAGCACTTTCTTCCAAAATGACCGCGGTGCGTTTTCTTGCTCTTGTGATACTACATTTTGATCACGTTTACGTGGTTTTAATTTTTTAATTGCACGCTTACAAACATTTAAAACATTTAATAATTTTTTAACCATGTTTTTTTGTTTTTAAAAAAAAAATTCGAATAATTCGGACGAACATCCTATTTTTATAAAATTCAAAAAAAGAGAATAATGTAATGTATATTCGTTATTATTATTATTATTATTATTTTTATTTTTTTCTTGTTTTTTTTTTATTTTTTTAATTTGTTTGTGTATATATATAGATGCATGTGCACGTATTAGTACACAAATTATAACGACAATTCCACGGGATAATGAACCTACATAAACAAATAAGGAAACGAATTCTTAGTATCATTCGTCCCTTCATGTATATTTACCTCGGAACAACAACTCCCAATCTTCCTTGGTTCATTCTTAATGACTTTACGAAACTCCGTCATCATAAACTTTCTATAAATATAGGCAAGTTCATTGTTTTCATTTTAAAAGAGATTCGGCCGTTAATAACCTTTTGGTTGAAATTTAGCGCTTGAGCCCGAATTTTTTGTATTAACAATATTTACAGTAGATTAATACTTAATTTTATAATAAAATGCAATGTAGATTAAGATATCAAAAAGGATAAGTCAAATACTAATAATATATCATTACAGACCGAAATTATTACAAGCATCTCAAATGCTTGAAAACGTTATTTGAATGCATGTACTATTTTATTTTGCCTTTTATGGATGTCATGCTTTTTGACTATTAATAACAGAAATGTTTATCGTTATTTTTTTATAAATGAATATGCACATGCGTACGTATAATGACACTATTATTGCATTAGTTGCTGGTAATTCGGGTTAATAAGTGTATATTTTAAAGTTGATGTTACAGCCTCTTCCAAAAATGGTAACCATTTAATTGTACTTATATAGTATATATTCATTATTATGCATATTTTCATTTACTCGGATTTTTTGTCATGTGCCTCTTTTAAAAAGACACATTTAGTTTTGATAATCGGTAACGAATTTCTAGACTCTAAGAAGGTATCCTTACATCGTTAATAAAGATTTATTGTGAATTCTTGCAAGTATATTACTGTATATTACTGTATTATGCAAAATGACCGTTTAGAAAGTAGTGTGTTTTAAAATCTCAGAATGATGGTATTGAGTTTGTTGTGCATGCGATACTGACAACAACTCAAATATGTCACAACATAATACTTTGTGACGCACGTGATGTAATTCCCTGTTTTACGTATTATATAACGTATTTGTAATGTGTTCATGTTTCATATTTCGTAATATAACAGATAAACATGCTATATGTAATGTAACGTTAATATTAAATTTTTAGGAGAAAAAAAAAATCGTATTACAAAAATCGTGCGAATTAAATGTCAAAAAAATTTTTCATGATAAATTTTATTGCGTTATCCTCTAATTTTACCTAATTTTGTTCTATATATTAAAAAAAATTTATTTACTGGATTTTTCGGGAAAATATTTCTCATTTCTAGTATCATTAATAAGTTAAGATTTCAAGTAATACAGTAATAGTGGAACAAATCAACAATCACACAAACTCACACTTAGCGTCTTCAAATTTCAAGCATTTCTTCTAAATTAGACAAACCTTCTCTTGAAGCTATTACTTTTTAGTAGCTGCTAAAATATTGTATAACCCTATTGAGATTATAATCTCGAAGATGCCCGTCATAAAATCATTTCATTAATTTTAAAATTTCTATTCACCACCAATTAGGATGAATACTGATAAAATCTGTGTCAGGATTAGTGACTTTGTACCACCTGGGTCACCCGCAAGGGTAAGTGAATTGATCCGTGGATTAACTCGCAAGTCAACCCGAGGATAAAGTCATTGCTATTGCTGCTGTGTGTCATTTATCACTGTCGATTTAGATCGACAAGTTACTTTTGAATTTCTAATAGATAAATGCAGGCCCGTCGTTTATTGATACTATAAATTACATAATAAAGCATGTATCATAACTTATATATCAAGCAAAAAGAAAACGGAAAGTATCGTTAAGCATATTCATATATATATATTCTTTTTTATTAAACAATTATAATAATGTAAAATCTTTACTTCTTATCTCTTGAACAAATACTAGAAACGTATATTATTCAATGAAAAAATATGAGAGAAATTCGATGAGTCTCTATTCTAAAAGCCAAAATCAGTAATTTATCTGTTACAATATAAATTATTAAAATACGAAAAAAAAATCGTACGTTTTTTTAAACAGTTTAATGACTACCGCGGAATTGCGCAGATAAGATAGACAAATTAGATCAAGATAATGGAGTGATATTTTTTGTATACCGGATTGAATAAAGGGGAAGACAAGGGAAGAAAAAGCAACCGGGGAGATGTGCCAATGGAATCATTAATCGTGGAATAAAGGATATTTCATAATCACTATCTTTTAACTTACTAATTATCCATTTTTAGTGCTAAATATTCGACCGCATGATTCAGAATTGAAACAAATATCATTTAATCCGTTCTTCTTTAGGCGGCATCCATAATTTACGTTAAACCAGTACTATATTGTATAGAAATAGGGTCCTTGATGATAATACCATATGAGTGACGCCAAGGGAAAAGGGATACTTTGATATATCGATTTATCATGTCTGTCTAAACGGACTTTCAATTTTAGCAATACATTACACAATTTTTATATTATAAAAATTGTGTAATGTATTGCTGTATTACACTAAAATTGAAAGCCCGTTTAGACAGACATGATAAACCGATAGATCAAAGTATCCCTTTTCCCTTGGCGTCACTCATATGGTACGTATTATTTTTGTATTATCTTTAAGATTTCTATAACAATACTGGTTTAACGTAAATATGGATGCCGCCTTATGCAAAATTGCAACAATGTAATCTAATCCGTTCTTTTATGCAAAATGCAAACACTACATGTTTAACGATCTTCTCTCTAAACATTTATATATTTATTTTTAACGAATTTTGTATAATATTTTTAGAATAACCAATAGGATCAAGTTTTACTAATCCATTGAGCAAATTTAGGTTTGTCAGGTAAACAAAAACAGGAAAATCAAAGTTCGTCAAGATAACGTGCCGACGACTAAAGATTACTTTTGACTGGTTCTTTAATTGAGCACAAATGTTTTATATACGAAAAAAAAAAAAAAAAAATTAATCATGTTTTTGGTGTCCTCTTTTGAGATAAAATTTGAGAGATTTAATAATTTAGAAAAAACTTGAAAATAAAACAATATTATTAATTAAAACTTTATTTAAAAAAAAGTTAAAGAACAAATAACTTTGACAAGACTTCAATCTGAAACACGGGGTTATAGGACTTTTGAAACTATCCTGAAATGCATTTAAACATATTATTAAAGTAGAATAATTAGAGTTCGTACTATGTAAAGAATTTATTTTGAAAAAAGAAGAATAATAAAGCAGTGTAATCAGCGTGAATGTCTCATTATTTGTTAATTTATAACCGCATGCTGTAACGTGATACGTAAGACAATTTTAACCTATGTAATTATACCACAAAAAATTTTCCGGTCACATGACTTTATCGTGGCGCAAACCAATTGAATTTCAGGAT